CCATCTTCAACGTCTATTAAAAGTACACATAAATACTCATAACAAATTGTTTCTTGTTTGCACGGTTCTCACACATACATAATCTTTTATACATATTTGTCTGGACTTTAAAAGAGACGGACCTTTGAGTTTGATTCGGCATTTCTTCTCAGAGTAGTTAGTTAGGAAATGTCGACCTCATCGGTCGCTTGATAAAATTGACGTATAAAAGTGCTGGCTTGTAGACTATTTGCAGAAATAAATTCACTTGTTTCGTTAAATTAACATCAACGTCACTCATTTCCCTGAGAACCTACATCTACAATTGAAACAAAACGAAGATAGCAATTCAATCATAGGTTTGATTCCTCCGCGTTTTTGCTTACCCCGGTCTTACAAATGATGGGTAACAACCAACACCTTGTATTCACAATTAGGTTCCCACCATTGATGGTAAACTGTGGGTTTCCCATGGAGTCAATGATTTGGCCCTATACACAAGATGTGCTAAGGTTGTTGATCTGTGTTTGTTTGTATGTGTTGCATCTCTTCTTGTGAGTGAATGTGCTGTGAATGGCTGAGAATGGGGATGATGACAGGGTATGAAAATTAAAAATATAATTAGTCCGTAAGTTAGGTAATGATGGTATAGGTATTTTTTTATTTTGTCGTATAATAAAACAATACTTAGATAAAACGAATCAAAGTTTAGGAGTGGGGGCTAAAACGTCATTTCTTAGTATAAAATGTACTGAGAAGTGACGTCACGCGACATTTCAAATCAATATATCTTCGAAACTATTCGTTTCTGTGAGAAAATAAAAAATACGTGTCTAATGTTTCGTATGTAAATAATCTATCAGACGGACATTAAAATAAAAATTAGTCGTCTACCCTAGCGCTATTGTTTAAGTTGAACTAATCAGATTGTGTTTGTTTGTTTTGCGTTATAGTAATTATTAGTTTAATAGTTGAAAAATAGACTGGATAATGTTTTATTGATCTTACCAAAATTGTATTTGTTACTGAATTTCTTCTAAACTGCTAAATAGATTTCAATAAAATATGACCCAAATAGTTTTTTTTTGAGGGGGGAAAATCATCCAATGACGTCTCCCACCTTGGGTTAGGTGAAAGGGAGTGTCAGACTCTTAGGTACTGACTAAAACCCACCCCGTTCCTACTCCTGCACTTCGAGCCGGAGTCCCGGCAACCCGTTAAGTCTTCCGCGGCTCCGTATCGGCATCAGCCCTGTTGGTATACCTAAGCTGCCAAAGTTTTTTTTATTTAGTTTCAAAGAAGGCATCTATGCTAACGCTAGATACTCTTTGTAGACAAGAAAATACCTCTATATTTATTCTGTTTTTCACAGGGTGGATTAGGCAGATAACTAGGTATAATTTTTTGCTTCATGATTTTGCATAAACATCATCTTAATCATCCTAATTTTCATGTCTACGAAACACGATAAATGATTACTAATCTATCTATCCCACTCCATACATATCTATACCTAAGTCCTACATATTCATATTGTTAAAACCTTACACAACAATAGCAGGAGATTGACGATCTAGATAAATCTTATGGGAACATGCGTCTAACAAGCAATTCTTTAGAAAAACACTCGTCATTCTTGACAGAGTATTCCCATCGCCAGCTAACTCATTATGCAGAGTTAAGCACTGAATATTAATAAACTATGTGATAATGATACCTTCGTGCTTCGGTGACTTTTGTTGCTATTTTGAAGTCGTAGTGAGATTGAGTGTTTAGAAATCAAAACCTATCTATCTATACATAATAATAAAATCGTAGAAAAGTCAAAACTGTAAGTACATTGAATATTTTTAAAAAAGAATACTTTGAGCGTGATCTACAATCGATACCGAATCCAAATATATGGTGTTTGGAATTTTTGTCTGTTTGTCTGTATGTATGGCCAGGTTAAACTCAAAAAGTGATACATGGATTTACTTCAAACTTTGCATGAATATTACTAAAAGGTCGGGTCAACATATAGGCTACATATTATTACGCTGTCACCTACGGGAGAGGAGCTGGGAATCACTATTCCACGCGGACGAAGTCGCGAGCACAGCTAGTCAGAAATAATTTATTTGCCTAAAATGTAGGTGACAAATATGTTGTTATGTAACATTGGAGAGTCCCGGTACATTCTGCCTTTGATAAGATATCTTCTTCTTAGTCTGTTTTCTCTAATGTTGAGAATCGTGTGTCTTTCTGATCTTCTCCGCTAGATACCGCCATTTAAGTACTGTGTTCTGTTGCTTGTTGCATTGCCACATTCATAGATGTCTATGATACTGGCCTTGTCTTTAGATATCGGCCTGATCACCTAATGGAACTTCGATCTCTTTCTTTAGTCTTATAGCCGTTTTCACAAAGCTCCCCTAAACCATCTGTTAATTAAGAATTATTTAGCGTAAAGGAGCATCTAGAAACCCCTTACTTGGACTTGTGTGTCACTTATTGGTTGGAGAAAATCAAAATGTCACCTATCTTAGCTTACCCCTTAAACTATAAGAGAAGTAGATGAAAACGTGTATTAGTCTCTTTCTTATGGAATATCACTGGTCAATCCCAAAGCCGTCACCGGTGACCGCTCTCCACTAACTAAATTATAGACCTTATTTCCGATGTTTAGAGACTACTTTTGTATAAACAAATTTTGGGGATTTATATCAAGTGATGTGACCAGTGCCAACGACGAACGCCGAAGAGTTAATTTGTAGCTTCTAGATGAAGGTGTATATTTAAATTGCGTGTGAAGCTGCAGGTGGAAGATTAGTTGATTTCTGAATAGTAGATAGGTAGGTAAGTGAAGTTCGTTTAAAAACATGAGTTAACATGAATAGCAGCTAATGTAATATTTGATCGATATCAATATTTAAAGCGTATATGTACAAACATTATTAAACCTTGAATACGCTATTTAATCATGGTGTTGGATTTGAATCATCAATACTCATTATCATTAACAAGGCATCAAAACTAATATTTGTTTGTCAATCCCCACGAAGTATTTTTTAATCCTAATTTTCAAACAAGCATTTGACCTGACCAACAAACTTAATGACAATTTAACTACAATTCAATTTGATAATTTAGACTAGTTTTATAGTCATTTCATTATTAATATGGCTCAAAATCTTTATATATATAATTCTTCTGTGAGTGTGTATATCACTGAACTTCTCTCAAACGACTATACCGAATTGATGATTTTTTTTTTGTGTGTTCAAGGGTATCTGGGAATGGTTTAGATTCACAGAACAGTCCAGCAGATGGCGCTGCAGGCGGTTTCTAAATTATTTATCTATACCTATTATTATAATATATGCAGGACAACGTCTGTCGGGTCCGCTTGTATATCTATAAATCACGATTGCTAAAACTGCGCCCCAAATAATTCCACTAAGCGTTGCCTTAAGGCTTTAAGTAATAAATACTAAGTAGTCTTTATGACGGCACTGTGATGCAAGGGATACACACATAGATACACAGTTGCAATATTGTAAAAAAAACTTAACACATTTATAATTGTCTGTAATACTTAGGTATTTCACATGTATAACTACAAAGTCAGTACGTTTAAAAAGTGTGTTGGAAATGAGTCCGATCCGATCATAATATTACCAATAGGTAATTCATTAAATGACCTGCTTGATTGATAGTCAGTTTATTAGGCTAATAGACATACCTATTGCCATAAAACTGTTGCATGAATAGATAAAGATTTAGTTTATTAACACTATATGCATGATCACACTTTATTTTTTCCTGCCGGAGTAACCAAAGTTTGTATTGTGTTGGCCGTGTGAGTAAGGTTAGGTACTGAATACAAAGGCTTGCAACTATAATGATCTTTTAAATATATTATATTCCTTCGTGTTAAGTGTGGGAGAGCCATGCTTCGGTACGAATGAATTGGCTAGACCGGAGTGATACCACGATCTCACAGAAAACCAACATAAAATAACGCTTTGTGGTTCGTCGTGTGAGTGAGGTTACTGGACGCCCAATTACTCCCCCGCCCCCTTACGCGCTCTATGTACTACCCACTGGTGAAAACCGCTTCAAAGTCAATTCAGGAGTTTTTGAGTTTATGACGAACATAAAACAGGCATACATGTCCTACCTTTGTTTATCTTTATACGACTGTCAAATTCCACAGATCCCACATAATTATGTTTTGTCTGTGTAAACTCATGCTATTGTTGTTTCTATAACCCAGTTTGCGTAGACACAGATTGACTTAACCTTGATCAGAATGACATGACCATATAGATGTGTCAATATTTGTTATGTGTACCTTACTAGAATATGACCGATGACGGCTTCATTTTTACCCAATTTGGTAGTCTCGTGTTCCATTTAATGAGAGTAATGAGGTTAGTCCCATTTAAAGAACAAATGTAACACCTGGCAACATTAAATTCAGGTGGAATTTCCGCAGTTGATCTTTCTATTAGTAGATATTCTCAGTTAAATATAACATAGAGTTATATTAGAATCGTACTCGTTTTGTTTGAACTACTACATCTATGGCAACAACTTCATTATCAGTATAGGTATCGTTAAACTGTCAAGCACCAAGCGGTCACCGGTGACCGCGACCTATTGTTCTTTAATTGTGTCTATAAAACCGGTACTCGACGAGTTAAGATATTTGTTCGTTAAGATATTTGTCTTACTAATAACTTCTTTTCTAATTCCAGATCACCGCCTGTACTAAGAACTTCAAGAAAACTGTCATCTCATTCTTTTGAGAAGATGTAGTGTTTCAACATATCTATCTAAAGAACTATTTCATTCATCCATCCATCATCGAAAACCATGACAAGAAACAGAGGATACAACAAACAATTATGATCAGACATCGAAAGCTTTAGACAAAATCGAAGCTTCTGCACAATTATGAGAATTCTAGAAAGTTCTAGAAGAAATAGAAGGTGTATAGGAATGTGATAAGGCTGTTCTAGAAGTATTAGTCCAAGATGTCGACGAGTAATGAGTTGAGTGACTTGGAGACGCCGAAGCTTCGCATGAAGCCGGCTGTCAGTCGGATATTCTGCTGCAGTGTCACTGCTGCTTCTGGTTTTGTTGCGGCATATGCTTTGGTGAGTAAACCTTAAGAAGCTACTATATAATAATGGAAAAATTAACAAGTGCAGAAATTCTAAATTTTCAAACAATAGTGGACAAAAACGCCTTTTACTTTGTTTCGTCGAGATGCTTTAATAGCGTCGTCGTAGTTTTTATAACTTTGAATCTCAGACGAATTCTGCAACCATTACTTTCTTAATTTTAGTGCTAAGTACTTTTAAGTAAAACTCAATACTTTAAATATCTTAAAGTTTATTATAATCGGATTCTTTTAAAAACACAGAACACAGTGCTCTTCCAACTTCCCACCAGTCACGCGCGTCACTTTTCTTTGCGCGGGAAACTTTTCTAATCTGTCCCATTTGACAGATGACATCGTCAATATGACAGCTAGTGCTGTCGATAACATAGATTAAACTAGTGACGTTCATTAAGTTGATTTTCGTCGTCTAACAGTACATATTTGGCTTGTTATCTTTTATAATGACATTCACTAGCTTCAATTTTAGAGCAAGAACTGCTTGTCGCGAGGTGTTCCTCAGGGCGCTATCATTTATAAATGAAAATTGTAAAACTATTGTGTTCCTTTATAGGTTTTTCCTAGCCTTCACGTTTAATAACACATCACTGATGTAATCTTCTTATCATGCGGTTTCCGCTCAAAGGAACTGACGTGCGGTTATTAGTGAGTAAACTGCACGGAGATCTTACGATAATACATTTTAATTATAAGTGTACCTTAAGTGTGTTAATGGTGTTGCAGTTCGTACTCGATTTTGTAAGGTCAAAAAAGCAACTATCTCTTGGGTCACCAAGAGACATTACCGTGTGTCAACACGATAATGACATTTGGATCAAAATTGAATTTTGAAGTTCAGATAACTCGCTGTAGAGCTGCGGTTGACCGCACTAAAGTTCAAAATTAAGGTCAGAAAACAATAAAAGAATACAAACCTCATAATATGAATTCCTTAATCTATCTCCATCTTGACATTGAGGAATTATTCGACAAACCACACGAATAGAACGACAAACCCGTTCGCTCGTTTAAAATTCACTAGACATCGCGCGAAGGAAGTGTAGACCGAGTAGTCCATTTAAGTTTGAGCCTTCACCACGTCATCTAGGTCGGAGACGACATGCGTTTGTATGCAAAGCTCGGTCTAGTTAGACTGGTTATTTGTAAGGCCATGCAGTTATCTCGACGACGCAATAGTGAGAGTAAGCTTGCTTGGATCAAGACTAGTCTTGTGTTGTGTCATTGTTGTGATGAATTTGAAAAGCTGTTACCTGCCAGTGCAGGAAATCATTTTTAAAACAGATACATTAAAGCCAATAAAGGGTTAGGTAATATTTTTTGATAAACTTTTGTTGATATATATATATACCAACGATCTCTTCGTTAAATGAATTAGGGACGATTTTAAATGAAACATTTTCAGTGAGGGGGATAAAACCAAACGAGTTTTAATAAGCCTTAATGACCGAATGTTACATTTAACTATTTAAATGATCTTAAACGTAGAGAATGTTTGTGTCGATTTTACGAGTATTTAGGTACTTATTATAAACCCGTTTATCAAATCAAATTGTAAAGTTTTTGTGAGGAAAAATAGAACCTTCACTCGTGCCAAACTCCAGCCAACTTTTTGCCCTGGTAAGCTTCTGCGAATCATTGACAAATCGCTAGGTAGGTAACTTCTGAGCAAACTAGTTTCTTCACAGATTGATTATTCTTAGTGACTTTTTGTCAAACATCCTGTTTCTAATAAAATTCCATGTGGTTATGAATGTATGTATAAATGTAAGTAGATATAACGATACAACTATTTACCTAAACGTCATTTTAATAATCTATTCTGATTCTATTGGTTTAACAAATAAGAACGAATTTGGAAAATGGTGGTTCTTTACTACTACCTCAAATTACCTACCACCGGTAGATTCAAGTCAAGTATCTGTCTACATACTTGCAACAAATATGAGGAAGACTGACTGCGACTGAGTCGATTGTGTCACACGGAACTAATTGTGAATGATCATTAGCCACAGATGGCAAGAGTAGGTTGATGTACGTACTGCCATTTACAGCTGTAGGACGTCCCTGACGTACCTCTACCATAGTACGTAATAAAATAAAGGTCGTTATTATTTCTGTCTCTGGCCTTTAGTGTCGCAAGGGCTAGGCAAAAACGTTCCGTGCTTATTTTGCTGCATCTTCCACGTTCTGGCATCTAGTTTTAAACGTCTCTTTCTTTTAAGCCGAGATTTCTTCAAAACTTCACGTTAAGATCTGGCATACAGTAAAATCCTGAGACTTGCTACCTGTACGATTGAGTTATAATTTTTGGAGTATGCCTAAAAAACTTTGCAACATTCTCTATCGCTTATACCACGGGGAGTGCTCTGAGGAATTGTTTGCCGCATCTTTTCGCCATCGACCATCGGCGGTATTTCCGAATCGATACGACCTTCAAACCTTCAAGAAAAGAGCGTATTCCTTTTTAAAAGGCCGGCAACGCACCTGTGACTCCTCTGGTGTTGCGGGTGTCCATGGGCGGCGCTGATCGCTTATCATCAGATGATCCGTCTGCTCGTTTGCCTCCTATTCCATAAAAAAAAAAAACAGAATTTAAAAGTATTTTTGAAAACAATCTGTACGTGTCTTACACACCTAGTTTTAAAGATAAAATTCATAAACGTGTAGTTGCGCTCACGCGTCGGACTATCAGCTAATCTTTCAAGCTTACAAACATTGGCTGGTTCCCATAAAGTTTCTCAGGCTGTCCGTGTCAGATTTTAGAATGTAGTAAATGAATTAAACGCCAATCGTTCGCAGGATTTCCGGTGTCATGTCATGCCTCGTGGGGCTGCAATTACACCCACACGCACACCAAGTCGAATTAGCAGCTGCCCATTGAAGTTTTCATTGCGATATCTTTAAGAAAAGTTAAATGAATATTGAATCTGATTTGTCACAAATTTAGGAATATTTGAATAACCATTAAATAAAGAGCAATTCACTTTATCACCAACAAAGAAATCCTTGTAAATGTAGTAGAATCACTTTGTTAGATATCATTGTCCTGATAATCTATCTACATGTGGTCCTACGTGGAGTCTCTTCATGTTCTTAAAATTTGTAGGCAGGTATTAAGACAAACGTTTCTATATGTATCTTATTATTCCTTTTGAAGCAACACATACCTATTTAGAAAAAGTAATGTCCTGTAATACGATCCAACATCCTATGACAATCAACTTTACAATGACTTAAGAAATGTACATAATGTTCCAGGTGGCATACGCGATCGCCTTGATATACGAGATAGTTTGGGTGGTGGAGTCCCAGAGCGGTCTGCCGCTGGCGTCCGCGCTGCTGATGGTCTGCTACTGCATCGTCATCGCTGCCACCGTCGTACTGGTGCATGGACTTATTTCTGTGAGTATTGTGATGATAATCTGGCGAAAGTTAAAGAAATTTCCGTTTTAAAGTCTTACAATAGAAACAATATAAGTAGAATAAACTTTTCTTAGATTGTTCTTAAGCTTTAATGGATACAGTACATATTAGAATGTTCTTACCTTTTTTCACGATCGCATATGGAATAGCTTACAGGTTAACCACCGCGTTGTCGACCGTCGTCATTGACCGATGACAACAGCGGAGGATTTGCTAATTTTCATTTTCCATTTTCCCTGAGTAGACTAACAACAACTGGGCTGTTGAGATTGGAATTTTTATTCATTGTAGGTACAGTATAGAAAAAACTGACAATTGTTAAAATTATAAACGTCTTTCCCTTGAATCACATCTTTTATCTTGTACATTTGAATAATGTTTATTTGTTTGTTTTATTTTTACAGAAAAACAACAGATGCCTGCTGGCGTGGTTGATAGCAGTCATACTAGTTCTCATACCGGAATGTGCTCTAGTCTTTTACATGTCTATAAGTCATTGGGTAAGTTTTCTCACCTATTGCCTACCTACTTATCCAATCGAACAACAAATAAACTTCCAAATTCCAATTTGCCTATTAGGCTATAAATTTATTTTTGCCTATTAGGCTATGAAATTATTTATTATTAAACTATTATTTTATCTTCCAATTATTTCTGTATGCGACCACACTAGGATTTTCTTGTTTAAGTCATGAGTGAGTTTAATAATGTCTATTTTCTAGTTCTTCGTCCATCTTGAGCCCCTAGGTATTAACATATAACGTATAACAGGTGTTCTTCCTCCGAATGTGAGCTGTATAAGTTCTTGTAATAAAGGGTTGTATTTTCTTAAACCGTGTTTTAACAACACAATGCTATTTCTAGGGTCTACAAGGCGTATACGGTGGCGCAGAGTTGGCATGTTACGTGGCGCGACTGCCAGCCATCGTGTGTGGAGTCGTGCTCGTACAATCTGCGTATGCACTTAGGGAAGCCAGGTGAGGCAACTCATGATATTGTTGAACTAAAAAAAGAATCTAGAGTAGAATATACTTAATTCTTATGTTTTCAGCTTACTCACGTAACTGTTTGACGAGGATCTCGACTAGTTTCCTCCTCGTCCTCTTGGAGGATTCCTTGTCGAACATTTATGTGAAAAAATCGAAAATATAATAATTAATTTAGTATGTCTCATGTTTTGATAGAACAGAGTTGTTCAAAATAAACTACTTCACCTATTTAATCTTTAGAGCTGAACCCGTCAAGCCCTAGCCCGATGTTACTGCCTCATTATATTTTACTGGAACTATCCTTGCCATCATCACGATCATCAGTTTGTATCTGTAACTATAGCACAGCTGGGTTAAGGCGTCTTTAAACCATATTACTTCAATAACTGATTAAACTAACTTTGATGCCCCTGTTTATTTACCTAAAAATCTAAATAACCTACATTACATCATTTGTCATGAAAATTCCAGGAAAGCCGGTTACGGTGCAGGCGGTGCGGTAAGCGGGAGCGAGTTCGACGCGAGCCACTACGTGCCAGACGCGCCTAATGCTTTCACTAATGACGGCTTCCTGCAAGACAACGGTAATGCGGATCTAAATTCCAGCATAGATTATGGTATTAGATTAGAATAAATAGATATTATGCTTTACAATATCGTTGCAGTCTGTTCATTTGATAAGAAATCTTACTATCTTGTACAAAGGTACATTTTTGTAATAAAACTCTATTTACAGGTAAATCTGGCTCAATGCCAGATCTCCGTCGACATCTAGCAAGCCGGCAGTCAATGAATCTCGGCTACCCACCGCAGATGTTACCGCAACCACCGCCAGCGTACTGGCAACACCTTGCTGATAGACAATACGCTGCCAGTCTCCGGGGCTACCCCAAGTCCTACCAAGCTCCACAGATATATGGAACATGGGTTGGACCCAGGTCGGGTCCCTACGACAACCCCTATAAACGAAGACACTCCATTGTAGGAGCTTTCCAAACTGACGAATACCCACCAAAAGGCTACGATTACGAAGACAGAATGGATTGTAAGAGTGAGATAGCTTACCCCTATTATCGGTCTTACCCCTACGATCCGAGAGTTTACCCCCCAGATTATGACCCCAGATTTTACCCTGAATATAAAAGGGAGGATGCAGCGTATGGTGTCAATTTGCTAAGACATGAACCGTATCATTTTAGTGGATCAAGAGAAAGAGTGTTCTACAGTATGAGAAATAGTCACACGTCTGTGGGAAACGAGTCGGATGATTTGACTAAATATAAGGATGTTGCTTTGTAAAAATAAATTTTTATTAAGTACTTAAATCAGATTTTCATGTATGTGGAAATAAATTTAGACTACTAAGTATTTACGTCGATCTCGACTATTGATCAAGGCAATTGAGAAGTTGCAAGAATATTCGTCGAAATTGGGTCATCCGTTCGAGGACCACGAGGCCATAGACAGAGAGACTTAATCGTCAGTCTTAGAGATAGCTCCCCTTTTGCGTCAGGCGTTAAAAGCTATCCGTGGTGTATTTAAAGAAAAAAAAATCAGTTTATTCATCAATAATGTGATAGTTGAGGATCCTGAATTCATTGACAGGGTCTAATCATTGAGGTTTTGAATCGACTCTAAAGTTAGTTAAATAATCTCAGAGTTTAACATAGTGGCGCTGTGTACTGTGTTAATTCTAAACCATTGAGATTCTAGACTGCCTCGTTGGCCGAGTGGTCGCAATTGCGACTGCCGAGCAAGGGGTCTCGGGTTCGATTCCCGGGTCGGGCAAAGTATTACTGGGTTTTTAAAAAATTCTCAGTAGTAGCACGGAGTCTGGAACTGTGCCCGGTATATGGCAATAGGCTCACCCCCTATTACATGGGACTCATAACATAAATAGTGAAAAGTGGGTGTTACATTGTACAATGGTATAATGTGCACCTCTGCCTACCCCTTTGAGGATAAAAGGCGTGATATTATGTTATGTTATGTTATGAGATTTTGTCTATAGAAATTGTCATTAACCGAATTTGTATGTTTTTGAAAAAATGCAAAATATTGATAGAAATAAGATTAACATAAGTAAACAGTAGGAGATGATATATTTAGGGACTCTTTCACTACAGCTGATTAAAAGAAAAAGAAAAAGTAGAGAAAAGGGCGTATTCCTTTTTAAAAGGCCGGCAATGCACCTGTGTCTCCTTTGGTGTTGCGGCTGATGGGCGGCGCTGATTACTTACCATCAGGTGATCCGTCTGCTCATATTCCATCAAAAAACTGTTAGCTTAATATTGATGCATATCATATAGAAAATACTGAGATAGTTACGTTAAAATTATCCATCAATAGTACTAACTAATAAAATCTAAGTGCCGTACTCAGTGTTCCGAAAACCAAGGACAGGGCCGTCTTTAACTACGCTATAATCCGAGACCCCTTTTAGAATGTTTTTGTTAACCCAGACCCGAAGGAACAATTTGTGGAGCACACTAAGATTTGTTCCGTGCAGGAAAGATTTGGTTCTGTGCAACGTGTAGCGGGTATGTGTTCGTCGTAAAAATTCGGGGCCCCCTGAGGGTGTGGGGGAATAGAACTGGGTAAGGAGTTAAGTACTTACCTAACCAGTAAATGAGTACGGCAGTTAGTCAGATACTGTGACAGAGGCCCTTACTCTTGTACTTAGTTACTTAAAAAGAAAATATTTTTATAAAATGTTATACATACTTAGAAGATGAATAATTATTGTACCTACTTAAGTAGATGTAGTTAGGTTAGTACTACTCTATAGCTAGTTAAGTTACCTAATTAACCAAAGGTATTATACAGTTCGTTTTAAGTAGATATAACTGTAACTTTAAGTATGTAAACCAAGATGAAATCAGTCACTACATTTTATAAAAATTCAATCAATAAATGTAAATTGTAATAAAGTGTGTATTTATTTATACTTTCCCGCAAATTAGCTAAAACTTATTTCCCTATAGCATCTCTAATGGTTATCAATTCCATTCTTCCATCGTTCGATGTCGAATGAATGGACTGATCAACGGAGGAACTACACATTACACAGAGATTGCGCAGTAGCGCCCTCTGATAAACCTGGAACTTAATAAACTGTGATCTCTAGAAAATTTAATTGGCTAGTTTCTTAGGTTTAAAATATTTTTCAACTTTTCAATGCAATAAATAATTAAAAAATAATCATACTTACATCCATTGATTTGACAATTTACCTACTTTTGGATTTTTTTCTCGCTAATTTTATGGAAATACGTACCTATTTGACACAGAAATATGATGACGTCATAAGTTGCGATCAAATTCAATACTTTTTTCGAATTGTCAAAAACGACAGTTTTCTATGAATTTTGTACGAGGTTGTATATTGTGAACGTTTGTTTAGCGTTAAACAGTATAGGTACTTATTTCTTTAAAAATTGCTGGAATAATACTAAAATTAAATTGGTCATAAAATCATTTATTAATTTTTTTTAATTTTTTTATTTATTTATTTAATAGGTACACAAAACAGAAACACAGCGAAATACACAACAGAATAACAATACCAAACTGTAAATGGCAGACCATGCTTCCACAAGTATGTGCACACAACATGACATGCAACGACTAGTATTTATTTATTAATAATTATTTACAATGAATTATAATCCAGAACAAAATTAGAGATAATTTTTATTGTAATAATTAATGAAAGTATGATTTTTTTTTAAATATTTTATTGTATTCAACAGTCGAAACAATTTGTTTTTGACTAAAGAAAGTACCCAATTAAATGACAAGGGCACGGGCACGAGTCCGTGGAGATTAACAGAACTATTAAAAAAACTGTGACCTCCATCCCTACCAAGCGTGATTATTAATAAATATCCTTTTTGTAAATGAGAGAGAACAGTTTGCATAGTAGTAGTAGAAATTTTGGGTTTGAGCCCCAAGAAGAGGAATAAGTACCGACTGTAGTACTGTTTTAGGTTTCTAGTGTCAGTTATAATTTAAAGACTGAATACGTGTCTGATACAGTCTCAAAATACCACCTCTATCTACTCTTTTCGGAAATAAAAGGCAAATTATGTTCAGGTCTTTTCAAAATTATGCTGTGTCATTAGAGTCCAGTTCTATCGATAACGGTATTACCAGTCAATAAAAATTATTCCTATGGCAATACTAACATAGGTACCCATCTTGAAAATTTTTTTTCAGCAAAATACTATAAGGCCTCGGGCTATGTACAGTCTATTTCAAGTCAACCTTTATCCTTTTCGAAAACATTGATTACTCATTCTGCTTAGTAAAAATATTTCGAAGATCAGTCATTCATAAAACTGGTAACATGATAAAAATAATGTAGTCCTACTCGATGTAGATTTATTATTTCTAACAGAAAAACAGATAATAATTCATTTACTAATTTCTGCATAATAAAACGTTTTAAAACTATAACAGATTTACATTCCAACAGAAATAACTAAACGTTGTGAAATATCAGTGTTGCTATAGTCAATGTTCGTAAGATACACTATTTTTATTTTCAGGTCAATATTTTACTTACGTACATACATAACCTTACACCGGTCTCACATAGGGCCAGGCAGAGACTATGAAACAGCAATTGCTACGATTCTTACATACCTCTTTCGCTTCATCGACAGTCATCAGACTTTTTATGCATGCTCGGTGGTTAAAGGTTAATGCCATGCCCATCTTTAATATTTAACAGTGTTCTAATTTCTATAATAAGGTCTTAAATTTACCAAGATTTATGTTTACATTCCAAGTGATACAATAATATCGACCTAGTATCCTGTTCATAACAGAGCGAAAACAATAGGTAGATAAATCATTTTTTATGAATAGATTTTAATAATTTATCAACGACAGACCACTCAAGCAAATGTTCAGGCAAAAGTGAGTTACGCGGTGACAGCTAGAACTAACATTGACTTAAGACCGAATAACCAATCCACTAGTTTCTAATATCGTATCTTTATTACCACCTGTATCTGTATATTGAGAAGATTACATATTTATGTTATGGATACGAGTGCGTGATATGACTATATTTAATTTGCTTAAATATTTAGTAGAAGTACATAAAATTTGTGTAAAAATTTCAATTAATCAAAAAACATTTTTTTGTAATTACGTTCTTTAATGATATCTTGCAAATAATAATTTAACGTTTCTTCATATTAAATTTTTAACCACTAAAGGGTAAATTTAATCGATCTGGTATCATTATAAAGTGGTTTCCAGCTGTACGAAACAGATAACTTTGAATAATTGTCATGCAATATGAAACTTTATCACAGTGGGCTAAGGTGCACCATATCTTGAAGTATTAAAGAGTACGTTTCAAATGACACTGTGTTGTCAAACAGGTTGGAAACAACGGGGCCGGCTTGCGTTGCGTATCGTGCTGTCTCTGTCTATCAGTCAAAAATTCAAGAGTTAAGTTGTCGACACGGCTAAAGTTTTAAAGTTTTTACGCTACTCCAAAAGTTAGTTTTTGCATATAATCTTGTGTTCTGAGTTAACTATGTATCATAATAATGTGGATAAATGTTAATTTATCAATGTGAATGTTTGTTTTCGTGATGTATGAAGGCTGTGTAACTGTTTATTGTTTCATGTAGGTGGCTACCTACTATTGTAGTTGGGCCCAATGTGAAAGTGTTTTGGCATAAAATTCAGATCCCATTGTTTTATCTTTCCGGGTATACGTTGGGAAAAACATTAATAAGTGTGACTTGCATAAGACGTCGCTTAACATTGGTGAAATGTGTGTTATTACGGTGTTTAAACTTCGATTAATTACTGAATAACTATTTGGTAAGTTCGGACGTGACATTCTTTTAAAAACATTGTTTAAATACTATAAACATTTGACTTAATTATTCTGAGACCTACTTCAAGCAGTTTCATACGTGTTAATACTTTAAAAGGCGAACTCCAGTATTATTTTGTTATTATTTAGTAATGAGGCTGTATGGTCATGGCACCTCTTTTTAGTGTCATTAAACCTTGTCAATCAATTTATTATCTATGTTAAACCTTTGTTATCAGCTGGAGTTTTGTATGTGGTCAGCTATACTTAATAAACACTTTGAAAGTGGTACCTATTATCTCTTTGTTTCATTAAAAGTCACCACCTGTTGCATTTAAGTCCTTTCAAATTAGTAATATTAATTGAATAACAATTACAACAATTTTATAGAATCTCAAAATAAATTATTTATAGCTAATAAGTCAAGCAATTTGTCTCATTTTGCCAGCGTACTTGTGAATATAATTCAAATATTTTTTATTAAATGAGCACAAGTATACTCTGTTACTTAATTTAATCATAATTATAATATTAATGTAGTGTAGTGTGTATTACATCAATATTTTTTTAATTAATAAAAAGAATCTAATAGAAGAAACTCTTGCATAATATTATGGTGCAAAGGAATTTAGCATACCTAATTTTAGACTTTGAAATAAAATATATTTCCATATGTTGATGTTGTGCTCGGGAGAAGATAGAATTATCTACTAAATACCTTATTCAAGACAAATCTCCAATTTCCAGTTTTAAAAAGTTGGCAACAAACTTGTAACTCATTTAGTGTAATTGCCCATTGCCCATACCATCAGGGGATGCATTTGGTCATTTGGTGCTCTGTGACAGAATACTTTTTTTGGGCATAGAGAATTTTACAAGACTTTTTTTATACATCAGAAAACTGGTATAAAATAAACTTTAATATAACAGCTAATTAGGTACAGTTTGTTAACCTACTGGCAGTCTTACTTTTTCAAATAGCATTCATTGTGTTTATGAGTATTATGAATTTGGCTGCTCGCCAAATGCGAGTTTTTATGTTTGATGAATTCTATAAACAATCTGTCGTATTAATGGACTGCTTATTATTATTTTTTGTGTTAATAAATTATGATTTAAATTGAATAAAAGAATGTTGCATTAAAAGCAAGATAAACATTCTTAGTGTCAAGTTTTGTTTTCTTGGTAACGGTAAAATGGAGTGAATAGGGTTTGATCGGCAAAAAGAGACAGAAAAGGGGTGAATAAGGAAATTCTTCAAATTCAAATTCAAAAATTATTTATTTGCGTAAATAAGGTACAGATAGTTGTCATTTTCTAATAACTTACGTCCTTTTATTTTGCCATCAACATCGGCGTGCAAAAATAATGTTACCTACGTTATTTTTGCTTTACAGACTTGTCAAAACTTCATAGTATCGATTCACCCCTCTTCTGTCCCTATTCACCTCTCGATCCCTATTCACCCCCATTTTACTGTACCTAAACTCTGTTGTCAGAGCTATCTTTTAGGAAATACCGAAGATATCTAGAATCTAAAATATTCTAAGTTACAAATATGCATTCTGTAAAACCTAGAATGTATATTTGTCTATTTATTAAAGTAATTTATAATTATTTATTTATTCTTTCAGCATGGAAGCTACCGCTGCTACAATGAATTTGCAACCCATAAAGAATATATTTTCTTCAGGTAACATTTTAATTTTTTATTACAATTTTATTATGTAATCTGTCTTAACTTACAATTTAAATCTTTGAGAAATCTACTTCTTATGTATCTGAACTAAATCATATTAAGTTTGAGAAAAAAATCCAAAATTTCTAAATAAATTATTAAAGTAAACAGTCAAAATCTTCTAAGTCCAGAACTGGTAATAACTACACAGGCCAATTTTTCTTAAACATTTGTTCGTACAGTATGGTACAAACCACTGCAAGAAAAACATCAACAATGTACATGCAATGTAACATACACCGCAACAAAAACTAATTCTCAAACAAGTCCCACCATTCTGTGTGAACAAGACAATACAAAAATATATCAGTCAACTTTAAACAATTATAACTTGTCATTATCAACCAGCTATGCATTGTCTAACGGAGCCATACATGTCCTAAACTAATTACTTTTCGAACCACACAAAATTAACTTTTATCCCACATAAAAATTAAGTTGAAAATCATATATCATAGATAAGTTAATGGCAAAATAGATGAGGTATTTAGAGAATCTCATTCTAGTTACAATGAGTGTTTCATAAGTGTAACATAGTTTGTGTTTCTGTTTAAACTCTCACGTTGTTGCGAGATTTCCTTGTCTGTGTACTGTCGTTGTATGCGCGGGAATTTCAAATTATGGTTTAAGTTGACTATCTTGTCAGATTATTGGTCACAAACGCGTCTGCGCCAGAATTAAAAGACATGTTTTCTTTAGGTTGCCTGGGCGAAATTGACCATCAATCAAAATAAGCATCTACCAGCCATTAGTTAGTATACATTTTGGAAAAATCCAGATTTATGTTCTGTGGTAAATGAATAGGGATTTAAAGATAATGCAAGACACGCTCGGCCTTTCGTCTAGTTAGTAGGTACCTGCTTAATCAGCAAAGTTTTGGTGAAAGATTTTTTGCGATACTTACGTATGTATATGTCTCGTATTCATTTCCGTTTTACTGTTCAAAATGCATACCAATTTCCTTTTGCTCAATGAAATATCTAGAAGGTCTACGATCTACCAGACATTAAAAAACTATTAATTGGCAATCCCGATTTTCTTTTCTTTTGAGATTACTACAGACAAGGTTACAGTTACACGACTTTCAATCTTTAATTTAACTAGTATATGCCTCTTATTATTTCAAAAGTAACTAGGTACATTCCATCTTCTAAGTACCGCTGCATACGCTGCTGGTGCAGCCGCTTCCGTGGCAGAGGCCCTCAAACGGCGTAAATATTCTAATTTAGTGGGTAACTACTGTTTTGAGTGGTTTTAAATATATCGGTCTTTAATTTCTTTGGACAGAAAATAAGCATTGCCATTCAAAGTGGCAATGCTACCAGTCTTCTGGGAACGGTCCCCGGTGATAGTGATGCGGACGAATACTTTGACGCCTAAATTAAGGGTATAATTTTTGTTGTTTCCTTTTTTTACTTTCGTTTTATTTAATAGTTTAATTGTAGTTAATTTTAAGTTGTAAATATTTATGTAGTTATATATATTTAATAATAGGCATTAACATTGAATTAAATAAAGCATTAATGTGGTACATTTTGTTTTATGTAGAGTCCTTCAATCGTTAGATAGAAGATTTATTTTCATTGTATTCCCGAGTACCAGTTGACCTGTAAACAGTTTGCCCCAGGCAAGTGAACTAATTTCCGCGCGAATTTCACAATTGATATTGACCTATTTATCAATCTGTATGGCGCAATGATGCTACAGAGCAAATACGACGAACCCAAAATAAATTCAATATAAAGCCTCTTTTGATTTGGGATTCATAACGAGTTTCATGGTAAGTCTCGTGGGAGAATTAAGAATGCTTTGAACAAGAATCTTTCGGAAGTCAATTTGCAAAATGATCTTTTTGTTGTCAGTTACGGTTTATTTCATGTTTTTGTTCGATAGCCATGTTTAAAATTATGAAAATGTAAGCATACTAGTCTAGCATACGTTCCAAAATCGACTGAAGGTGTTGAATACTTTAGACTTAGCCACAGACAACTCTTTACTCTACCGAATAACTTCCTCCGTTTAGTTTCCACATCACGCACACATCCTCGCACTTCCTTTACACAAAATTATGCGGGGAAACGATGGACAGGCGCAGACCTCGTGACGTCAAATCACATTTTTATGAACACTCACTGCGCTTTGCATGTGTGCGAACGTTACGTGAATGTTTTAGGGAGTCTATTAACTATGTGTTCGTATGTTCCGTACCTTACTAGAAGGCTTCAGGAGATCGATGTCGCGCCTGCGCCCTCGCCCTCGCCCGTACAAAGGCTAGGCTGCTCCCTAGCAAGCTGGGCCTGTCAAAATAATACACGATTTTCGCGAATTTCGCACGCGAGCAGCACAATATTGTTTAAAAAATAATTTCATTTGAAACTCTTGACTAAAAATGTTACTTGGAAGTATTAAAAATTCAGTTATTCCCTAAGTTTCAGTTATTGGTTGCAGTTTTACTTTGCACTATTTATTTTATTTGTTATGTTTAATTTCTGATGTGATGGTGCCTTTTTGTGTTCGACTTTTAATTGAATTAGTGGTGCCGTACAAAAATGTAGCTGGCTCGTTTTTTGCTGTCTAGGTATGTATGGAACTTGTAGCATTCGTTTACTTGTTGCTCTTGATTTTAATGTACGGATTACGTAATGCGACATTATAAACTTTAATGATTCGCCGACTGTTATTGTAATATCGTGCTGTCTGTGAAACGAGAGCGACATTTTGTTTTACTGCTAACGAGATCTGTAAATAAAACTTATAATTGCTATTATTTATGTTGCAATTAAACCAGTTTAGTTGTCCCAGTTGGGCGCCACTATTGTACAGTCTCAAAGCGATCAATGAAGTACTTAAATTATCCTCATACGTTACGGACCTATAAAGCTTTCGAATTTAATTTAACTGAAGTAATTATAACACACGTTTATGTTAAAGATTATAATAGATCGTGTGTGATCGTATAACTACGATACACGATATTCCCGCGGGTGTGGTTTGTAGAACGCAACAAAAGAATTGCAATTAAAAATATTGAAGCATCAACTAGAAACGTTTGCAGCCATTCAACCCTCCACGATGCACAGTCAACGATAGCCCGAGAACACTAGAATTCAATTATGTTCACTCTATACCAAATAAAAACACCTATGACCTTCGTTCGGTATAAAGGACCATTTGCGGGTTAAACGGTTGTAATCGACTTTTATGATGGTCTTAACTCGCAATATTTCTTATGAAAAAGGGAGGCTTATCTAACGTCACATTACCTGAATTTAATTCCTAATTGAAGTCCAATAGCGAATGATTTATATCCTCTTAGGGGTCTGAAGAGTTTTTGTCATAAATATAAACGAGAAGGCAGACATTTCTTCCACGGTCTCTTTATTTCTTCTCTAAAAATGCTGACTAACTTCGACCTTTTTAGTTAATAAACAGTATGACAACTTTTAAAGCAACAAAGGGAGATCGTCTTCCAAGAACATCCTGGATTAAGACTATTAGAATAAATTGAAAAACAGACTCAAAAAAGTATTCACAGTTGATTGTGTAAAAATACGTTTCTTTACAACCACCAAGCAAACCATATCTGCTAAGCTGTCGTGACGAGAAAGAGACAAATTTTAAAGTACATCAATTAAATCCCAAAGCAGTATGCATCAGGGTCACGCTTTGTGTGCCATATACAGAACACACCATGTTTTATGTCTCATCATAACTCTTTTGAACTGATAGGAAACAACTTACGGCTTTTATTGATTGGAAACATCGTGGCGACAATTACAAACACACACTTATAATATTTTTGCTAATAACCATCATCCTACAAGACAGCAGTTTTGAGCAATTACATCCTATCATTTAGTTAGATGTCGTGGTCGCCGCTTCTCATGCATGAGGGTGCGGGATCGAAACCTATATGTACTTTCTAAGATTATTTAGATACCACTGACAAACGGTGAAGGAAAACATCGTGAGGAAACCTGGACTTATAATTTCTAATTATAAGTTTGTCTCAAACCTTTTCAGTGTGAGCAGTGGGCACCTATAGGCTGTTGATGATGATGATGATTTAGTTAGATGGTTGGCGCAACTGTGCCGTTTTTAAGAAACTTGGTTCCTCGCACAACAAATATGAAAATAACTGTCGCCTGCAGTATTATCGAACCGATAAGAACGACAAAACTTTCAAGAAAAAAGTACTCCTTTTAAACCGACCGCTAATGCCTTGCAATTTCTCTGGTGCTGTGGATCCATACTCTCCTTGGAGTCGTTAACTGATAAATTCTCTTAAAGTCCTGTCACTTATATTGTTGATTTTTCCCACTACAAAGAAACAAACAGGTTTTATTTTCTTGTAAACGGGATAAAGAATTATCTGCGACCACGTCACAAGTTTTAAATTGAAAAGATAGTCTCTTCAATACAGAAAGAAATAACTACAGACGTCTCTCAAGTATATTCAAGAAAAATGCTAGGCAATAGGACTCAATGGTTACAAATTCGCCTTGCTTGATTAAACGTGCTTCACGCATTCTGATACGTTGTACTGTTTTTGTGCTAATATGTTCCAACGATTTGTTACTGGCCATAAGTCTTTGTTGGTTTACGAAATAAACGCTATTTGAACGCTAAAGGTAAACGCCTACGCCTGACTACGAGACATTAATAGTGTCTTAACGTTAGCTACTTTGAGTGGTACTGAGGATAATGTGGCTTAAGTCTGGCCTTCTGATCATTACAATGATGCAAGATTTTCGTTCAAACAAATTCTTCTGTTATCCGAGGTCACATTTGCACATCTCTTATCGATTTACCGTCTCTTTCACGTTACATCTCATCATTCTAATGTAACTTTATTAAATAACATGCGAAATATCATCAATAATAAGTCGATTCAATACAAAGCACCAACGTCAGGGTAGCCTACATTTTCTTCGAACCCCAAATTGGCTAAAGGC